ATTTTTGGTGTAAGGGATGATCTCTCACAGGCTTGCCAGGGTGGCAAGATAGAAAAGGGGACTGTCTGTAGTGCAATGGTAAAGCTGTTAAGTGTTTGAGGAGTTCACACTTGATATCTAATTGTAGAACATACAACCAGGGTGGGGTTTGTGCCCGGGTTGGTGACAGTCAGTCCTCAGGTCAGTACTCACATTCCTGAGCTACTCCTGACAGCCTAATCTACAATGAAAAGAGACTGATAAAGAAATAACACCACCTTCATTCAGGAGGTTACATACAATAGCCCTGCGGTTTAACTCTGTCTAATGCTGTTCCAAATAATAAAAATACCTTTCTTTGTGTTCCAGTTTAAAATAGATAGCAAATTTTGATGGTTACCACTTCCAGACCAAAGGACAAGGAAAGAGTCTAGGTAGCACATTGTGACAGGATTGGGCCATTCATCACAACTTGCTACCCTGGATCCAAGGATGGGGAAAGGTAGTGGTAGCAAACTGTGATAGGCATACCTCTATCCATCACAACTTGTGACCTCTGGACCAGGAGATGGGGAAAGATAAAGGACAGGGAAAGGTAAGAGGCAGCAAATTCTGATGGGAATGTCCCCTGCCATCACAACTTCCTGCCCTTGGATTACGGGATGTCAAAAGGCAGAAGAGGCAAGTTGTGACATAATACAAAAGAGAGAACACACAGATGTTAATAACCGCTACCAGTAGCACATTGTGCAGGCAACGTTACACTGGCAGGGTGAGGAGCAGCACGTAGCCCTGGGAGCGGGGGGACAGAACTTTAGGGTTTTTTTTTCCCATAGCCCAGTAATGAATTAATTTGACACAACAAATAACCAGCAGAACCTGGTGACACAGCACCATAGGTGTACCGGGGGCGGGGGGGGGGGGAGTGCAGGGGGGCATTGCTTTCGCAAACAGAGGCTTGGGGTGGGGTGTCACCCAGGGTCACATGCCGCTTCCCTCCCCGCATTTCTGTGAGCTGCCCTGCAGGGCTTGTTCATCTCAGCCTGCCTGGGAGGGGGGTCTCTGTCCTTCCCACGCTGCGCCTGCCCCCCGCATGTTTTGGCTTGAGGGGAGTGGCGGGGCAGGACAGAGCAACTTTTCCCATGCACTCTGGGTTGCTGTCTCAGAAGCTGGACACTGCCTCCTAAATCCTAGTGCCCACTTATTTCCTGTACCAGTGAGGGGAAGGGGGTAAGAGATAGTGGGATAGAGCAGGGGGAAGAGAAGGGAATGTAATGGGGCAGGAGACAGTGGGGAGAGGGGGAAGAGAAGGGGATGTAACAGTGCTGCCTTTGGGGGGACACTACTGAGAGTATCAATTCAGGACAAATTGCTTAGAGCAGGGCAGTCACAGCCCAAGTCTGGGAGTCCTTTATTATTAAGTCACACCAAACCAGCCAAACAGAGAGGACTTCGGTTTTACTCCACTGGCTAACCAGAAGTCATACACGCAATTCCCTCAGATACTCTAGTTCTCTTGTATCACCACCACCACCACTCCTTATGGGGATGAATGGTTATGAAAACCAATACCCCTGTAAAAGAAAAAAGGTTTTCCCGATCCCGAAGGACCAAGCCCCAGACCTAGGTCAATACACCAGTTAGATCTTTCCCACAAATCACGCTGTTGCCAATCCTTTAGGATCTAAAATCTAAAGGTTTCTTCATAAAAAGAAAGAAATATAGATGAGAGCTAAAATTGGTTATATGGAATCAATTACATACAGTAATGGCAAAATTCTTGGTTCAGGCTTGTAGCAGTGATGGAATAAACTGCAGGTTCAAATCAAATCTCTAGAGTACATCCACAACTTGGATGGGTCATTCAGTCCTTTGTTCAAAGCTTCAGTTTGTAGCAAAGTTCCTCCAATAAGAAGCAGGACTGAAGACAAAATGGAGGGGTTTCCAGGGCCTTTTATATCTTCTGCCATGTGGAAGGACACCCCTTTGTTCTTACTGTGGAAAATCACAGCAACAAGGTGGAGTTTGGAGTCACATGGGCGAGTCACATGTCAATGCATGACTCAGTTCTTTACAGGTAGAGCAGCCATTGCTCACATGCTCCCTTGAACGTTCCCAGGAATCATATGTGGATTGGAGTCTCCCAAGGGCCATTGTCAGTTAAGTGTTTCTTGATTGGGCACTTAATCTGAAGAGTCTCTTCACAATAAGTTGGCCAAATGCTTCACTGGTGCTACTTAGAATCAAACACATTGAGATACAAGTATATAGCCCACATTCATAACTTCAAATACAAAAATGATACATACATACAGACAACATAATTATAACCAGCAAATTACAACCTTTTCATAGACACCTTACTGGACCTCCTTTGTACAAGATTTGGTTCAACTATAGGACCTTGGATACAACAATGATCTATATGGTCACAGTTCATGTCAATAACGTCACAGGGAACGGGGGAGAGGAAGAGTGAAGGGGAGGGAATGGGGAAGAGAAGGGGATGGGATGGGACAGGAGACCAGAAATGTTCAGAGCTCAAGGGTTTATTTCCCTGAAGTATCAAATTCCACAACCATTGGCCAAAGGTGCTGCCCCCCATCCACCTTTCCAAATTGGTTGGTGTACCCTTCCCTCCTGCTCCATTACAGCCTTCCTTCCTCTGTTGCTCAAGATGTCACTATGCTGGTTTAAAAAATGCAGCTTGTTGCCGGGCAGGCCTGGTTATTGTAGTAGCAGATGCAGAAAGGGGAGAAGCAACAGGAAAAGTCCTTTGGCTCACAGTATGATCAGAGCCCTAAGCTTTTGGCTCCCTTTACATTTTCAACCACACCCTATTTTATGACATTAATGGTGCAAATGAGGCTACAGAGCTATTTTGTAATGCACAGAAGATAACGTATTTTGGGCTACAGTGTAAACACCTTAGGTTCAGGCCAGTTACTGCAAAAGTATATTTCGCAGTGCTCTTTGTGCTTAAAAAAAGAATTTAAGGCACAGGGACTGCTGTTTTTGGCACATACATTACAAGACAATGCAGTCTGAGGTAAGGATAGTCACGCCTAGTGGTTGGAGCAGTGGTGGTCAGGCCTTGTGGTCAAAGCCAAGGGTCAGAGCTGGAATCAGAAGTCAAGAGCAGTGTTGGAACAAGGCAAGGGTCGGGCTGGTAGCTAGGCTGGAGACGGACTAGGGAAAGACAGGAGCAAGAGCAGGAATAGAGCAAACTGAGGTCTGTAGAATCAGTCACCACTATCAGGCAGAGGTGAGTTCCAAACCATGAAACGATGTTGACCAGGCTGAACCGCTGTTTCTCCTGTGTGCCTCATACACCTGTTCTGAGAGTTACCAGACCAGCTACCGTCCTGTGGATTGGCTGGAGCCTAGCACAGGAATGACTCGTCCCCTCATATGGTTTAGTTAGGGTCTAGTTCAGGGATGGCTCATCGCCTCACACTTGGGTTGCAAAGCCTGTGGTGTTTCCCTTCCACTTCTGCTCCAGGTGGGGGGAGGCAGCTGTAGCCCCAGCCCCAGAGCAGCCTGGATAACTTCCCATTCTGCCCACTGCCCTTGTGAACAAGACCCTTCTCTTACTTTTGGGGACTCACCACAGGCTAACATCCTCTGGGGCAGTGGTTCTGAACCATGGAGCAGTATAAACAAGACATTGTCTGTATGAAATTTTAGTTATACTAATGTCACTAGTGCTTTTTAAATAGCCTGTTGTAAAACGAGGCAAATATCTAGATGAGTTGATGTATCCCCTGGAAGACCTCTGCATACCCGTAGGGGTACAAGGACCCCTGGATAAGAACCACCGCTGTAGGGTAAGGACTGCCTGGACAGCCTGTTACTATCCTGCCCTCTGCTCACAAGAGAGAACATGGACAAGTGAAAGGACACCATGGGTGGAATGTGAAGCATCCCCTGCCCTGCCCCCACTCGCTGATCTCAGCTCTCCCCCCCCCTCCCCCCACCTCCTGTGGCCCTAGCTGGGGCAGAGGGGTGGGGGCTAAGAGCTCCCCCCCCATGGCCCCGGCAAGGGGTGGGAGGGTCCTGAGAGTCACCCCACACATGACCCCACCCCATTCTGCCCCTTCCCCCACTACACTCCCCGTTCTTCCACTATCTTTGTGGCCCCGTCCTCATTCTGACCCCATTCCGCCTCTTCCCTCTGAGACCCCACCCCACTCTCTCCTTTCCACCCTCTCCCCCTGCTGTGGCCCCAAGACTGGAAAAACTTGGTGACCCCACCACAGCTCCTCCAGCTCTGGAGCTGTGGCTGGGGGACATTTTTCCCAGGGGCCCAAATTGGCCAAGGCCCCTGGGCACGGCCTGCATGGGCCTGTGCCATAATCCACCACTGCCCCCCACCCCCACCCCAATGGCTTGAGGTTTGGGGAGGCTTAGCTTCCCCCAGTCTCCTTTACATGCCACCTATGAAAGACACACAGATAGGGCCAGCCTTAGGGGTGGGGAATCTGGGTGCCTGCCCAGGGTGCTGTAGTCAGGAGGCACCATGGTACAGAGGCAAGGGGCTTGGGCTCCCCATTGCTTCCTGAGGGGTGGAGCCCGGTGTGGCAGGAGCTTCCACTTCCCTGCTCCAGAGCGGAGACCCTATCTGGTCTCCAACCTATCTGGTTTCCCAGCCCACCTTCTAGTCCCACCTTTGCACTGTGCGAGATACCGGGCTCTCCCCGCACCCTGTGTGACTGTCCCAGCCAGCCGTTCCTCCTTCCATGGGCAGCCTGAATGAAAGCGATGCCACCCAATGGAAGGTGAGTGTGGCATCTCAACCAGCCAGTGGGAGCTGGAAGTTGCCAGGGTTTGGAAGGGAAGGAAGCTAAAACTGCAGGGCAAAGAGACCAGTAAGCCTGGGGGTGGGGGATCCTGACCCCATGCCCCTGTTCTCAGGGGACCCCTCCCTGTGCTCCTATCTCCCAGCCCCCCAAGGGGGCCCTCTATTTGTCCCCAGGTCCCAGGCAGCCCCTCCCTCTGCCCCCCAGGTCCCAGCCTCCCAGTTCTCAGGGTCCCCTCCCATTCTCCCCAGTTCTCAGGGTGTTCTCCGTGTCTTTGAGGTCCCCCTCCCGCATGCCACACACTGACCTCCCAGTTCTGCATGCTCCTCAGCTCTCACCACCCACCCTAGCTACCTCCAGTGTGCTGGACCATTTGCATTTTAACCTCCCCTCCCCCAATAACCCACCTTCCCTGGGACTGGGGAGGGGCACTTGAATATTAGGGTTGCTCAGTATTGGGGTGTAGGAGAGATCTGCCTTTCTGGAGCCCCCCACCCTGCCCCTTATTCCCCACACCTCTGAGACTCTTATCTGTACTCCTCTGGCTCCCTCTCCCCTTTCTGGGGCTCTCAGGTCACCATGCTCCCCTGCCACCACAACCCCCTGGTGCCCTCCTGTCACTGCACCTCCCCTTGGGCTGCTGACCCTCTGGTGCTCTGGCAGAGAAGCTGGATGCCGTGATGAGTGGGAGAGGTTGGGAGGTGCAAGAGAAGTACAACTGACACAGGAAAGAAAGGAGAGCAGCAGAATACGGACCCTGGACTTCAGAAAAGCAGACTTTGATTCCCTCAGGGAACTGATGGGCAGGATCCCCTGGGAGAATAACATGAGGGGGAAAGGAGTCCAGGAGAGCTGGCTGTATTTTAAAGAATCCTTATTGAGGTTACAGGGACAAACCATCCCGCTGTGTAGAAAGAATAGTAAATATGGCAGGCGACCAGCTTGGCTTAACAGTGAAATCCTCGCTGATCTTGAACACAAAAAAGAAGCTTACAAGAAGTGGAAGATTGGACAAATGACCAGGGAAGAATATAAAAATATTGCTCAGGGATGCAGGAGTGAAATCAGGAAGGCCAAATCACACCTGGAGTTGAAGCTAGCAAGAGATGTTAAGAGTAACAAGAAGGGTTTCTTCAGGTATGTTGGCAACAAGAAGAAAGCCAAGGAAAGTGTGGGCCCCTTACTGAATGAGGGAGGCAACCTAGTGACAGAGGATGTGGAAAAAGCTAATGTACTCAATGCTTTTTTTGCCTCTGTCTTCACGAACAAGGTCAGTTCCCAGACTACTGCACTGGGCAGCACAGCATGGGGAGGAGGTGACCAGCCCTCTGTGGAGAAAGAAGTGGTTCGGGACTATTTAGAAAAGCTGGACGAGCACAAGTCCATGGGGCCGGATGCGCTGCATCCAAGAGTGCTAAAGGAGTTGGTGGATGTGATTGCAGAGCTATTGGCCATTATCTTTGAAAACTCATGGCGATCGGGGGAAGTCCCGGATGACTGGAAAAAGGCTAATGTAGTGCCCATCTTTAAAAAAGGGAAGAAGGAGGATCCTGGGAACTACAGGCCAGTCAGCCCCACCTCAGTCCCTGGAAAAATCATGGAGCAGGTCCTCTAGGAATCAATTCTGAAGCACTTAGAAGAGAGGAAAGTGATGAGGAACAGTCAGCTTGAATTCACCAAGGGCAAGTCATGCATGACTAATCTAATTGCCTTCTATGACGAGATAACTGTCTCTGTGGATGAGGGGAACGCGGTGGATGTGTTGTTCCTTGACTTTAGCAAAGCTTTTGACACCGTCTCCCACAGTATTCTTGCCAGTAAGTTAAAGAAATATGGGCTGGATGGATGAACTATAAGGTGAATAGAAAGTTGACTAGATTGTCAGGCTCAACGGGTAGTGATCAATGGTTCCATGTCTAGTTGGCAGCCGGTATCAAGTGGAGTGCCCCAAGGGTTGGGCCTCGGGCTGGTTTTGTTTAATATCTTCAGAAATGATCTGGAGGATGGTGTGGATTGCATCCTCAGCAAGTTTGCAGATGACACTAAACTGGGAGGAGAGGTAGATACGCTGGAGGGAAGGGATCGGATACTGAGGGACCTAGACAAATTAGAGGATTGGGCCAAAAGAAATCTGATGAGATTCAACAAGGACAAGTGCAGAGTCCTGCACTTAGGACGGAAGAATCCCATGCACCGCTACAGACTAGGGACCGAATGGCTCGGCAGCAGTTCTGCAGAAAAGGACCTAGGGGTTACAGTGGACGAGAAGCTGGATATGAGTCAACACTGTGCGCTTGTTGCCAAGAAGGCCAATGGCATTTTGGGATGTATAGGTAGGGGCATTGCCAGCAGATAGAGAGACGTGATCGTTCCCCTCTATTCGACATTGGTGAGGCCTCATCTGGAATACTGTGTCCAGTTTAGGGCCCCACACTACAAGAAGGATGTGGAAAAATTGGAAAGAGTCCAGCGGAGGGCAACAAAAATGATTAGGGGACTGGAACACATGACTTATGAGGAGAGGCTGAGGGAACTGGGATTGTTTAGTCTGCGGAAGAGAAGAATGAGGGGAGATTTGATAGCTGCTTTCAACTACCTGAAAGGGGGTTCCAAAGAGGATGGATCTAGACTGTTCTCAGTGGTAGCTGATGACAGAACAAGGAGTAATGGTCTCAAGTTGCAGTGGGGGAGGTTTAGGTTGGATATTAGGAAAAACTTTTTCACTAGGAGGGTGGTGAAACACTGGAATGCGTTACCTAGGGAGGTGGTGGAATCTCCTTCCTTAGAAGTTTTTAAGGTCAGGCTTGACAAAGCCCTGGCTGGGATGATTTAGTTGGGGATTGGTCCTGCTTTGAGCAGGGGGTTGGACAAGATGACCTCCTGAGGTCCCTTCCAACCCTGATATTCTATGATTCTATGAACTCTGCCCCAGAGCCCGCTCACCCTGTCAGTGAGGGCAGACTGCCTACTACATTGTCATAAATATAAAGGGAAAGGTAACAACCTTTATGTATGCAGTAACATAAAATCCCTCCTGGCCAGAGTTACAGAATCACTTACTTGTAAGGGGTTAATCAGTTCAATTAACCTAGCTGGCACCTGACCAGAAGGACCAATGGAGAAAGAAGATACTTTCAAATCTGGGGGAAGGTTTTGTTTGTGTTCTCTTTGTTGGTTCCCTCTCGGGACCAAGAGAGAGACCAAGCAGGTAACCCAGCTCCTAAAAAGATCCTGAAATGATACATCTAAAATTACAGAAATTGTAAGTAATAGGAAGGAAATGTGTTCGATTATCTTTTGTTTTAGCCTGTGAATTTTCCCTGTGCTAAGTGGCAATTTTATTCCTGTTCTTTAACTGGAAAGCAGAGTCAGAGGGGAATCCTCTGTGTTTTAAATCTTTTTATTTATCCTGTAAAGTTATCTTCCATCCTGATTTTGCAGGTGTGATTCTTTTACTTTTTTTTTTTAAATAAAATTCTTCTTTTAAGAACCTGATTGATTTTCAGTGTCCTAAAAACCAGGGATTTGGTCTGTGCTCACTTTGTTAACCTATTGGTTGATATATTATTCTCAAGCTCCTGCCCCCAGAAAACAGGGTGAAGGGTCTTTGGGGGATATTTTTTTTGGGGGGGGGGATAGGACTTCAAGTGGCCGCTCCCTGAATGTTTGTTTAAATCACTTGGTGGTGGCAGCAATACCATCCAAGGACAAGGAAAGGAATTTGTGCCTTGGGGAAGTTTTTAACCTGAGCTGGTGGAATATAAGCTTAGGGGGTGCAGGTCCCCACATCTGTACCCCAGAGTTCAGAGTGGGGAGGGAACCCTGACATACATTATCTTGTCTGTCCTGCTCAATGAGCAGATGAGGGGGTCCCTGTAGCACTGGCTGGGGAGGACAAAGTGACTGCTATGGGGTTTCCTAGGATGCCCATCACTGTGGCATCCAGATGTGAGTCACTGCAGAGCAGGGCCGGCCCTATGGGTGAATGACATGCTCGGGGGGGTGCCATGGTCAAAAGGCAAGAAGTGGGGCGGAATTAGAGTGCGAGGTCATGGAAGAGAACTTGGGCCAATGGGGCGGGAGGCAGTGGGGGCCGGGGCAATGGGCAGGGGAGGCAATGGGGAGGGAGCAGGGGCCAGGCAGCCAAAATACAAGTTTTCCAAGGGCGCTATATTCCCTAAGGCTGGCCGTGCACACAGGAAAGGATGTTGGTCACAATGCAGAGGTGAACAACTCTGCTGGAGAACATTGTGACACTATGTTCATAGGGAGCAACCCAGCCTAGTCATTTCCTGCAGCCTGTAGGGAACACAGGATACTGGGAGTCCCTTTCTCTAACCTAAATGGCAGGTCCTGCCCACCCCATTTCACCCACCAAGACAGGGAGAACAGTTTCCACCTACTCATTTTTGTAAGCCCACCAGCACAGCCGTGTGGGCATGCAGCACTTTGGGCGTGTTGTGCCACAGGTCCACTGGTTTGAAATGTGCCCTGTGTTATGTTAAATCAATAGGGATTTTACCATGTATAACTCAGCTGAAAAATGTCACTTGGGTACAGCTTCTTCCCAAATAATGTCAATTATTAATAAAATCCTAACACAAACACCCTGCATTCATTTCCTTGGTTATGGGTCATTCATTTTCTACCACTACCTTCTGACATCTGAGCACATTATCTCCCTGACTACTTGGGGCACCTTGTAGAAGTCCTCTCTCTGGCTATTCATAGCATACAGAAAGTCCCTGCCCTCCCCATCTCCCTCCCAGCCATCAGTGAGAATCTCCCCCATACTCTCAAGGATGTTCTGCAAAACACAGCAAGTACCTCTCACATGAGGCAGACATTGCTCATCAGCCTCCAGCCTTCTCAGAAGGCTCCTCCTCCTTCCCTTCAGTCTGCCAAATGCCCACTCCACTGCAAATCTGCAGTTATGTAGGGCCTAGCCCAACAGCTCCTTTCTCCTGACCTCCAAGTGTCCAGGAAAATGGTTCATAAGCAAGGCTACGATTATGTCACAGAGGTCATGGAAGCTGTAACTTCCATTGACCTCCATGACATTTTCTGCCCTGGGATTGGAGCTCCCAGCCAGCCCCGCCCTCGCAGATCCCAGACAACCTGGTGCGGGGGACCCTGCAGCTGCCAGCTGCCCAGGCGACTAATTAGATGGAATTACACAGTAATTCATTGGAATTATGAATTAATGGCTTTCTCATCTGACTAGCTCAGGAACACCAAATCAAAAGATGGAATTATTGATTATGGTTATTAATGAGACTGCACTCAGGCAGTAACCACATAAAAATTTACTAAGGATTCTTCTCCACCCATCCTAAACAATGTTGTAAAATAAACCACTGTACGTGGCTTTCAATAAAGAAGAATTTATTTAAGTAATCAGAAATGACAGAAGAAACCAACAAACAATCAAATCAATAAGGATTATGCAAATGAGACACACCAGATGAAAATGGTAAATAAAATAAGTAAAGCAATTTACCTATTCTTAAAATAACCTCTTAATTAAATATGACATTCTAAAATAGAAAGCAAGTATTAAATGGACTAGTGTTATAAAACTGAGTATAAAGTTCAAAAAGCTATGGGGATTAACCACAATGGTATGCACTTAATTATTTGGGATACTAAAAAATCCAGAGGTTGTTTATCCTAATTAAGTTTAACTAGTAGCTAAGCATTATTGATGGAATTAAACAGTTAAACTTAAAGAAACAGTATCAGATAACCAAGTATAAATTCAGTATAATAACTGGTATACAACAAGGAGATTCAACTTGCTACTAAAACTTTTAAACTAAAAATGAATTTGGACAAAACTAGATAAATTGGATAGGATGCGAGAAGTGAAAGTAGTGACAACTTTAACAAAATCTAGTAAAACTCTTACTATTTCTCTTTCTTCTATCTTATGAAGGTAGCATTGTGAAGCTAACAATTCACAATTATATAATTATTACAGTTGAAAATTCAGCATTGTTTAGACGTGTTTAGCTGGAAAATAATTATAATGAACCCTGTGCAAGCTGTGGTACAAGAATCACCCAAAGTGATTATTATACAACAGTTCAGAGCCAAGAGGATTAACTCTGATTTGGTGGAGTTAATAGGCAAGTTTACAAGCGTGAAAGTTCGAAAAGCAGTTTAATTAATCCAACGGTAATTCAATTTAACGAGACAAGGTGGATGAAATAATATTTTTTGTTGGGAAAGATTTCAAGCTTGTCTCTCTCACCAACAGAAGTGGGCCCAGTAAAAGCTATTATCTCACCCACCTTGTCTCTCTAAGATCCAGGGACCCACATGGCTATGACAACACTACATATTCAAATTAAAGTTAATCAAGACGGTTGAGGGAGTGTTCTTAGCTCTCTCCTGCCAACAAACAGCAGCTACACTGGGTGCCTTACAGTGGCAAGGCGTTAGTGGCACAGCTGTGCCGCTGTAAGCTGCGCAGTGTAGACATAGCCTTAGTCTACTTTAAGGCTCTATTTCTTTTTCCAATTTCTAGTTGATTCATTTCCTTTTTACTATTTTTAATTGGGATATTTTTCATAGTTGGATGGAAGTTGATAGGTTTATATGACTTTGGTATTTTCCAAGTAAGAGTTCCTACCAGTCCAAAAGTCTGGTTTTATGGAATAGAGCTGAACTCCAGTGGATTAGGTATTCTAGGAAAACACGCTCCAAGACTAATGTCTATCTTTCTTCCAAGCACACAAAGTACCTGTTGAATTTTAGCAATGGGCACTGATTTCCTATTTTTTTCTGATCTTTAAAGAAGTGGCTCTGCTCACCCTCTCAGTCCCTTCTATTTTTGTGGGTGAAGTCTTCCTCTTTGTAGCTTGGCTTAGGATTTTCTTCTGGGAAACATCTTTTCCCCCAAGCTGCTTATTATTGGGATTCTGGAGTTTCTCAGTCAAAGAAAGTTGCTCTTAGGGAGAGTTAAACAAACACTTCTCATGTGGAATGACCCAGCTTTCTCTAAATCAGGGGCTCATAGTCTGATCACAATCTGCTGGAGGTAGATTTTGCAGGACAGAGGTTTTTGCAGTGCTCCCTCTAATTTTTCCACACATGTGTGGAATGAATTTTGTTATGTGCACCAATATGGAGGTGATGTGTGACACGTCACCTTCATATTGGTGCACATAACAAAATTCATGTGATGGGGTGGGGCTGAGGAATTCTTGTGGGAGGGGGCTCAGGGTTGGGGTGCAGGGCTGTGAGGGCTCTGGCTGGCGGTGCGGGTTCTGGTATGGGGCTGAGGATGAGGGGCTCAGGGCTGGGGCAGAAGATTGGATGCAGGGGGTGAGGGCTCCAGCTGGGGTGCAGGCTCTGGGGTGGGGCCAGGGATGAGGCTTTTGGGGTGCAAGAGGGTGCTCCAGGGCTACAGTGGGGAAAAAGGACTCCCCCCAGCGCTCTCTCCCCACAGCAGCACCTGGGCTTAGGGGGAGGAGGCACCTGTCCCCACCACGGGAGCTCTGGGGCTGGTGCTGCAGGATAGCTGCCCCTCCCCCGGCCCCAGCAAGTCTGAGCTGGGGGAGGGCCACCCGGGCCGCTCCTGGGTCCGGGCTGCTCTGGCTGTGCCTGGGCCCAATCTGGCCATCCCTGGATCTGGGCCACGGCAAATCCAGGCTGCAGGGTGAGTTGGGGCGGAGGGGGAGGGGGTACCCTAAGCATTTGCGCAGCGCTAAATAGGGTTCTGCGCGGCCATGTTGCCACACAGCTTACAGGGAATTTAGGTTTTGGGCTAGACAATCCTTTTTTATGCATTATCACTCCATGCGGTTGTAATGGGGGGACTCAATCTACCCCAAAGGACATATTAGGCAAGTTTCCATTGTCCGTTTTGGAGAGGCATTTTCTTTTATTGCAGGTGGTCATTCATTAACTGGACAGGTCAAACTGTCATAGCAAGTTTCTGTCCATCCAGCAGGTGCATTTGGGCATCACAAGAAATTCCTTTCCATCCTTTTCTTGGAATCCTTCATTAGCATAGAATCTGCCACCTCTTAGCTGAATACTTTTATACAGTGGACCAGGTTCAACAAAGGAGATTGAGGAATACCTCCACCTCTGAATATCTCGTGGCTAGGGCACTCACTTGGGAGGTGGCAGATTACTTGGGGAGGTGAAGGGATTTGAACAGCATAGAGGAGACTTGAACCTCCTGGGTGCGTACCTCAACTACTGGGCTAAAGGGTATAAAAGAGGTCCGTGTCCTCTTTTCCCATACCCCAGGTATTTTGTGTAGCATTAGGTGGCTTTGGAACACTCCAACTGGATGGGGCCCCATCGGCAGAGGAGCACTTATCCCCAGTTTATGAATCACAAGAAGAGACAGGTGCTTCCCTGGAGCCTGGACTTAGGTACCTATGTACAAGAAAAGGGCAGGACTCAAGACACCCCCGACTCCTTAGCATGTCCCATTGGCTAGCTTAGGTGGCTCCCCACCTAGCATGCTTGGTTTTGTGAATCACATTCTGAGATGTCTCTTTCTCCCCATTCATTTTATAGACAGCCCAGGTGCCTAACTTAGGCTTTGTGGATCCCAGTGTTGTTTCTGTGATTGTCTAGAAGTGTGGTATCACAACACTCAGCATTGTAACACTTAAGTCCCTTGGTGGATCCACGTCTAAAAAACTATGACGAATAAATGAGAAGTCACAGAATATCAGAGAGCTTTCTAGCACCAAATAAATTTAGGAGCTGAAGAGAGGATGTCCAGAACTTCTTGAGACGTAATAAACAAATCCCATCACAGCATGGGAATCTTATCCCAGCCTCTTTTCCTACAGGGCTCTCTTCTAGAAAGGGGATTTCAATCTCTGTTTTAACAACTATTGTTCGTCCTTATTGCATGGCCACTCCAGCCTCGCCTGGTCCTGATATTCAAAGCATTTACAGGCTGTCTCCAGTGTGGATTCTGTAATGCTTAATACCAGTTTATCTCCAATTGAAGTTTAGCCCATAGTCAGGGCAGTTATAGGGTTTTTTTCCAATGTGGGTTCTCTGATGTGATAGAATGTGTGAGGTTCAACTAAAACTTTTCCTGTACTTACTGTATTTGTAGCATTTCTCCCTGTGTGGGTTCCCTGGAGATTATAGGAGCTAAGCTGTTACCGAAACTTTTCCCACAGTCAAGACATTGATAATGGTCTCACTCTGCTATGGATTCTCTGATGTGCAGTAAGGGCTGAACGTGTACTGAAGTTTTTCCCACATTCGGGGCATTTAAAGGGTTTCTCCCCTGTGTGTATTCTCTGGTGAGTAATAACATTTGAGCTTCGACTGAAGCTTTTCCCACAGTCAGGACAATTATACGGTCTCTCTCCTGTGTGGGTTCTGTGATGTAATAGAAGGTTTGAGATGTGACGAAAGCTTTTCCCACACTCTTTGCATCTGTAGGGTCTCTCCCCTCTGTGGATTCTCCGGTGTTTAGTGAGGGCAGAGCTGTCACTGAAGCTTTTCCCACAATTGGGGCATTTGTAGGGCTTCTCTCCTGTGTGTTTTCTCTGATGTCTAGTGAGGTCTGAGCTTCGACCAAAGCTTCTCTCACACTCAATGCATTTATAGGGTTTCTCCCCTGTGTGAATTCTCTGGTGTATAATAAGATCTGAGCTTGAACCAAAGCTTTTCCCACACTCAGGGCACTTAAAGGGCTTCTCTCCTGTGTGGACTCTCTGATGTTTATTAAAGTGGGATCTGTCACTGAAGTTCTTCCCGCACTCATTACACTTATAGGGTTTCTCTCCAGTGTGGATTCTCTGGTGTCTAACAAGTTTCAAGAGCTGAACAAAGCTTTCCCCACATGTTGGGCATTTGAAAGGTCTCTCCCCCGTGTGGGTTCTCTGATGTGATAGAAGGTTTCCACTCCGACTAAAGCTTTTCCCACACTCGTTGCATCTGTAGGGTCTCTCCCCCGTGTGGATTCTCTGATGCGATAGAAGGTGTGAGCTCAGACTAAAGCTTTTCCCACATTCAGTGCATATGTAGGGTCTCTCCCCCGTGTGGATTCTCTGGTGCAATAGAAGTTGTGAGCTATGACTAAAGCTTTTCCCACATTCATTGCATATGTAGGGTTTCTCCTTCATGTGGGTTCTCTGATGTGATAGAAGGTATGCATTCTGACTAAAGCTTTTCCCACACTCATTGCATCTGTAGGGTCTATCCCCAGTATGGATTCTCTGATGTGCTAGAAGGTTTCCACTCCGACTAAAGCTTTTCCCACACTCGTTGCATCTGTAGGGTCTCTCCCCAGTGTGGATTCTCTGGTGAATAGTGAGAGTTGAGCTCTGACTAAAGCTTCTCCCACACTCCTTGCATTTATAGGGTCTGTTTCCTGTGTGGGTTCTCTGGTGACTAATAAAGGCTGATCTCCAGCAGAAGCTTTTCCCACAGAAACTGCATGTATGGGGTCTATCTCCACTGGGGATTCTCTGTTGAACAGTTTCTTTGATTTTCTTGACCACTCGACTCCTGTGAGTGGATTTACACTGGTTCTCCTTTGCATGGTTTCTCTGATGCCTCTCTGGCTTGCACTGACTTTCATGGGCTTCTCCCTGTTCAGCACACTGAGAAACATCCCCTTCAGATCTTCCTGATACCATCTCACCTGTTTCCACATGCTCAGGACCTTCCAGTTGATGATTCTCCTTCTTGTTCTCACTCACCATCCTCTCACCTGCTGGGATAGGGAGACAATCCAGACAGGAGTCACTTGCTGTGCTGGGAGGAAAAGAAACTTCAGAGAAGAACAGCAAAGGTGGACCCTGATGGTTCTTGGGGTACCTAGCACTGTGAGTCATCTAGTTACCCACCTGCATCCAGCATGATGCAGACATACTTGTGCTTAGCTGGGTGTCAGCTCCCTGACACTACCAGTCTGCTAGCCGCTACAGCACTCTCCTCTGGATATGCCAGCCCTTACTTTGCCTTGCAGGTTAACAATAGGTGCACCCTAATCCCCAAGTCCCTTTGAAGCATTCCTCTGTAATGTCCAGCCCCTTATGCACTGACCATACACAAAAATATCAGATCTTCTGTCTCCAAAGGAAAAGCATACACACTCGCTGGTATGATTCAGTTCAGGACCAACATCTAGCTTAATACCACAGCACTTAGACATATCTATAGTGAAAACCACAATAAGTTCATTAACAAAGATTCAAGGTTCAAGTAGCAGTGCGTAAGGATATTGGAGACATATACAACAAAAATCATAACACTCTTTCTAGAGACTTAACAGACTAACCTCCTGTCTAAAGAAGTTTTATCTCAGCCAGTGTCTTCTGCAGCATTTCAACCAAGGTTGGTTGAGATCCTGTTTTCATGAAGGTAACCGAACCACCTGTTTACTTCCTAGGTGCAGGATAAAAGGGTGTCTTCTTTGCCTTCCATTTATATCCCCAAAATTCATTCTTTGTGCCCCAAGTCAGGATGACCACCTGCAGCTTATTTTCCTGAGTGCTGCTTCCCTGTTTTTACATATCTCCATTGACTTTGTATGTAAGTATGTACCATGGGGCTGGATTCCAGTACTTAATTTACACCTCAACAAAGAGAGGTGACTAAACTTCTCCTATCTGACAGAAAACCTGTTTGCCAACTCTGCCATGACACAGACTTTAAATCATATTTTCAGGATCTAGACACACCTCCTTCCACAGAATCTGCACATATATTTCACAACAACATTAATTTCCACTGTGACCCCAGTTTTCATTTAAGACTGCACAGGCTGTTCTTTGGTGAAACAGAATGTACATAAAAAGAAAAGGAATACTTGTGGCACCTTAGAGACTAACCAATTTATTTGAGTATAAGCTTTCATGAGCTACAGCTCATTGCATCGGATGCATTCAGTGGAAAATACAGTGGGGAGATTTATATACCTAGAGAACATGAAACAATGGGTGTTACCATACACACTGTAAGGAGAGTGATCACTTAAAGTGAAAAGAAAAGGAGTACTTGTGGCACCTTAGAGACTAACCAATTTATTTGAGCATGAGCTTTCGTGAGCTACAGCTCACTTCATCAGTGACTAATACAGACTAATACAGACTAACACGGCTGTTCCTCTGAAACCTGTCACTTAAGGTGAGCTATTACCAGCAGGAGTGTGTGGGGGAAACCTTTTGTAGTGATAATCAAGGTGGGCCATTTCCAGCAGTTGACAAGAACGTCTGAGGAACAGTGGGGGGAATTAATTTGCAAAACTGGATACAATTAACTTAGGCTTGAATAGAGACTGGGAGTGGATGGGCCATTACACAAAGTAAAACTATTTCCCCATGTTTATTCCCCCTCCCAACCCCCACTGTTCCTCAGATGTTCTTGTCAATTGCTGGAAATGGCCCACCTTGATTATCACTACAAAAGGTTCTCACCCCCCCCCCACCCTGGTCTCCTGCTGGTAATAGCTCACCTTAAGTGATCACTCTCCTTACAGTGTGTATGGTAACACCCATTGTTTCATGTTCTCTATTTATATAAATCTCCCCACTGTATTTTCCACTGAATGCATCCGATGAAGTGAGCTGTAGCCCACGAAAGCTTATGCTCTAATAAATTTGTTAGTCTCTAAGGTGCCACAAGTCCTCCTTTTCTTTTTGTGAATACAGACTAACACGGCTGCTACTCTGAAACCTGTTAGAATGTACATACAAAAACCGGGATGTTCCTGTAACCCCCTTGCCAGCTAGCATCCTGGGGTTCTTGCATCACAGAAACAAACCCAAGTAACTGCTGGGGAGATCAACAAATGAGGAAATAAACTCCTCCCACCCCACCCCAAAAAAAACCCCTTCTCCAGAGGAAAGAAAGGAGGGGACCAATTCCACCTCCACATCACATCTGAATACTCAAAGAAAAGGGGAGCTCCAGCCAGGTGTGAGTCCTGCTGGGCAGGAAGCCACAAGGATATGACACCTGCTAACCTGGGTAAAACAAGGCAGAACAAACCCAAATAGCTGCACAGGAGATTAATCAATCAAATGCCCTCCCAGTCCTTGGCCAGGAGCAAGGACCTGCTGGCTGAAGCCCAGGAACAGTGATGAGCACAGCTGGCCCCCATTTGAGCTGCCTGATGGGCCAAGCCACCAAGGGCTGAGGGGGTTAGCAGACCTGCTCCGGCGGTTCATTGTATTTGCCCAGCGCTATGGTAGCTCCTGCTTATTCTCAGCCTTACTCCTGCCTTGTTTCAGCCTTGCCCTTTCCTTGCCTCATTCCAGGTAATGTGCTTCTAGCCCTCACCTCCCATTCCTGACTTCAGCTCTAACTCTGGCTTCTGGCATCCAGCCTCAGATTCCAGTTCTGACACTTGGCTCCAGCTGCAGGTTCCTGACGCTGTCTGTGACCCATGGCTCTGACCGTTAGGACTGACTCCTGCTCCAACCACTAGACATGACCACCCATGTCCTGGTCCCCAACACCCTTTCCCAAAGAAGGGAGAGGAGGGGATCAATTCTGCCTCCCCTTCCCATCTGCAGATTGAAGAGGGGAGTGGATACCCAGTCAGACAGACCCCCCCCCGGTTTGATGTCTGCCATGAGGGTATAAAAACTGAGCCATTTTATCAGACTGATCACGAGTGGTCATCTTTACAGATCTCGCTTCCTCATAGCCCTGGAGAATAGGTAGAGGCAGAAACTGGCTTTTCCTCTCCCTGCTCCTCACCTTGTCCTAGGAAAGTCAATCTGCCCGGGGTGCTGCAGGGAATGGGGCTGGGCAGGGAGCCGGGAACCTCGCTCCCCATTGACTGCTCCTGCTGCCCCTGTCTCTCCTCCCCTCGGGCTGGGAGACTCGGTCCCTGGCTCGGCCCGGGGCGGTCGCTCTCCCGGCGTTGGCTCGGCTCCTGCAGGCGCTCAGGGGGGCAGAGACTAGGGAGGGCCAGGGAGGGCAGCAGCTCCGGGACTCGCAGACCCCCGCCCCCCCCGGGAGCAGAGCTGGGGCGAGGAGGGGCCGTTGGTGCAGAGTCACTTTCCTGCCCGGCCCCGGCCCTTTCCCCGGGTCTCTCCCCTCACCTGCAGGCTCCGGCTCAGGGGCTGGTCTCGGCAGAGCCCGCTGCTGCCCAGGGGCTGGCTCCAGCCCCCAGAGAAAATCCCCCCGGCTGAGCCCCCAGGGGCGCTAGGGAAGGGCTCCCCCCCCCCACACACCCCGCTGGGGAGCAGCTGATCAGCTCCTAGATCACAATGGATGCGGCAGCAGCAAGGTCTTCTGAGTCCCAACCAGGAAGTGTGAATGAGCAGACAGAGTGTTATTTGCTGCCTCCCCTCCCCTCGCAATGCTCAGAGCCCTCTGGTGGCCACAGCCCCAGCTCGTGAAGCCGCCGGCGCACCCACCCACCCTCACACTTTGGAGCCAGAACAGCAGCGCAGGAAGCAACAGATTTAGCTCCTTGGTTGTTCCAGGGCAGGCTGGAGCTAGGCGAATGCTCAGTGACAGCTGCTGGAGCCGCTGCCCTGGCTCTACCCCTACTGCCCCCCAGACTCTGCTTCCTGCAAGACGAAGCTGACGAGGGAGCAAGAGGGGGAAATCGGGGGGGAGGATGGGCAGAAATTGTTCAGGAGCCAACATGTGAAACGAGGGTAAGGGGGAGGGGCAGGCAGATGGAGAAAATCGGGGACAGGGAGCAGGAGCTGGGGTTCAGAAAGGGGAGATATTGTGCCAGACCATGTCAGAGGGGAAACCCTGACAGGGAAGGGTACAGGGGATAAAAGTTACTGCAAACGGGGTGAGCCATCAGTAGTGGTTGCCAAACAGGGTGTAGATTGCTGGCAGAGGGGCTTGTGCTGTTCGCTGGACGGTCTGTCTGAGCTCCCGCTCCCCGGCTCTGTGTAGTCTATTGCCTAGATACAGAAGCTCTTTCTCTATCTGAAATGATGTAGCGAGCTACCAAGGAAACCTGGTTCATTGAAATCTCTCTCTCTCTCTCTCACAAACACACATCCTGTTGTTTTGTGTTTAAAATAATTCCTTGTCAGTTTACATAGTTCACAGATTTGTCTCATCTGCTGTTCTGATTTGCCTCATTTTGAAGGCCATTCTGTAATCACTGTCAATGTACCATCACACGTTTTAATTATTCATTTAAATATAATTTTTATTACTCCTATTTTTTAGTACTCTGGCATTTGCCTTGGTTAGCATTGTGCTGCTGTTGTGCTACTTAGCTTATATTTTTAATAACAAATAATCATGGACAATATTAATTGATGAGTGAAGGGGCATGCCCTCATTCTAGTGGAGAAGAGACTAAGCTCTTCTGGGCTCCAGTCTGCATTGCCTGAAGGGGGAGCTTTAAAGGGGGAAAACTGTCACAAGAAGCAGTAGTAAAAAGAACAGGAGTACTTGTGGCACCTTAGAGACTAACAAATTTATTAGAGCATAAGCTTTCATGAGCTACAGCTCACTTCATCGGAAGCTTATGCTTTAATAAATTTGTTAGTCTATAAGGTGCCACAAGTACTCCTTTTCTTTTTACAGATACAGACTAACATGGCTGCTACTCTGAAACCTGTCAAGAAGCAGTAGTGAACAGGAAAAAGACAGCTGAGCTTCAGAGACTGCTGACAACAGAGACAGATCAGCCAAGAGGGAGGCACTTGCAGGCCCCACCACCCCTGAAGCTGTATGGACCACCTATGAAGCAGGGTGTCCCAAAAGGAGGGGCTGGAGGTAGACCCTAATTAAAGAAACTATACTAGCTGATAAACCAACCCCAAAGGGGCACCCCAAAAGACAGCCTAAAAGACCAAACATCTTTGCCTTTTGTTTCTTTTACTCTGATTTCCCACATCTCTCCAGAGAAAGAGAGAGAAAAGGACCTTTGTGTTCTTGGTTTGTTTTTTGTTTGGAGAACACCTTGTGTGCTATGGACAGGGGAGGGGTATCATGAACATCTCGAATTGGGGTCTGGTGGGGACTCAGGGAGCTAGGGCGGACTCACTGCAGGAAGCGCACAGTGTGGAAGGGGATGCTGAATGCTCCGAGGTCAGACCCAGGAAGGTCAAAGCTGTGTAAGCTTCTTGCCCTGGAGACAGTATGTTCAGAGAGGAGGCTTCCCCAGAGTCCTGACTGGCTTCATATGGAGTAGTTCCAGAGCATCGCCCGGGTGACTCCATGATAGTCTCTTTCCATTGTAGATCAGTCCATAGGTTATCTGTTAATGCATTGAAACTAGTGTAAAGTATTGAAAACAGTATTTGAAATATTTATGTATACCTTTTAAACACAAACTATTAGGCAGAAAAATCTACCACTGTTCTTCATATGGACTTCCCACTATTGCCACCGTTACACACATTGAACAAGTTTTCAATTCAAAATTTCAACTTCTGTGCTTTGGCACACTCATATCAACAAGTTCCCCTCTGATCTCATTTCAGAGTCATTTTCTCAGGCCTTTTCCTCGCTGCTTAAACTGAAGTGCCTTATCCTCACTGAGTTTTTTTCCTCAGAATAACACCTGCTCCAATAGGCTATGCTTTGACCAAAAGTAAATTGTCATTCCTCAGAATTAAAAATAAAAAGAGAAACCACCAACACAATAATAGACATAGGAAAACCTAGTAAAAAAAAATTAAGGCACAAGAGCAAACACAACCCTTGCAAGGGTTTCTATGGTTTTAAACCTCGGACTGCTTGCATTGTAAGCAAGAATCGTATCCCTAGATGAACAAACAATGCTTTGGCCCAAAAGCAATCATCATTCCTTAGAACTGTGGGAAAAAACAGGCAAATCTAGCTATAAAATGTAAAAGTAGCGCACCTAACTTCACTTTTAAAGGTCTCTCCCATGGTGTCTCACATCTTAAAGCAAGAAACTGAAATTCAGATTCTAATGAAGCTATAACTCCGAGACAAACAAACCAGGCTTTGCCCAAAACCTCTGGTCATTCCTTAGTTTTTTTCCTCTCTCTGTAACATATGTGCATTAACTTCACATCCTTAGTGTTACACCCCATAGACATGCCCTTTATAAGGGACAGGAATAAGAGAAATTGGGGGGGGGGGAAGAGGTTGAAAGCCTCTGTTAATTTCTTTAGTTTAAAAGGCTTTAAATGGTTTTCCATGGCACACACCCAAATGGGGGGCTCTAGACATTCAGACTCAAACACCCTGGGATAACTAACAGGCATTAGCTATCTCCCCATGAAAACATAGTGGAGACAAAGCACGTTGCTTTGGTTCCCTTTTGGAAAAACTAAAGGAGTAACAGGATAATTCATGTCCAAAAAAAAAAAAAAAATCTTATTTTGGGCAGTACAGAAAAATAAACTTGTCAGAATGAAGAATTTCATTGAAAGGTATCACAAAAAGTCTATGAAATTAAAATATGTAATTAAAAGGATACACAGTTCAGTAGAAAAATCAACATGTATTAATTCATTTAATTTGTTGAAGAGTAAATTGTGCACTTCAGTGTTCGCAGGATGGTGAATTACTTACAGAAAACAGGATTTTTAATACATTTTCAATTACAAAGGGAGCGGGGAGTCACATGTTACTGGAAGTCCAGAATGGCAGTAACTGCTATAGGAATTAGAGTAGCAGCCGTGTTAGTCTGTATTCGCAAAAAGAAAAGGAGTACTTGTGGCACCTTAGAGACTAACCAATTTATTTGAGCATGAGCTTTCGTGAGCTACAGCTCACTTCATCGGATGCATACCGTGGAAAATACAGTGGGGCGATTTATATACACACAGAACATGAAACAATGGGTGTTATCATACACGCTGTAAGGAGAGTGATCACTTAAGGTGAGCTAATACCAGCAGGAGAGTGGGGAGGGAGCAGGGAGAAGAAAACCTTTTGTAATGATAATCAAGGTGGGCCATTTCCAGTAGTTGACAAGAAAGTCTGAGGAACAGTGGGGCGGGGGGGAGGGGGGAGAAGGGAAATAAACATGGGGAAATAGTTTTACTTTGTGTAATGACCCATCCACTCCCAGTCTCTATTCAAGCCTAAGTTAATTGTATCCAGTTTGCAAATTAATTCCAATTCAGCAGTCTCTCGTTGGAGTCTGTTTTTGAAGTCTTTTTGTTGTAATATTGCGACTTTTAGGTCTGTAATCGAGTGACCAGAGAGATTGAAGTGTTCTCTGACTGGTTTATGAATGTTATAATTCTTGACGTCTGATTTGTGTCCATTTATTCTTTTACGTAGAGACTGTCCAGTTTGACCAATGTACATGGCAGAGGGGCATTGCTGGCACATGATGGCATATATCACATTGGTAGAAGTGCAGGTGAACGAGCCTCTGATAGTGTGGCTGATGTGATTAGGCCCTATGATGGTGTCCCCTGAATAGATATGTGGACACAGTTGGCAACGGGCTTTGTTGCAAGGTTAGGTTCCTGGGTTAGTGGTTCTGTTGTGTGGTGTGTGGTTGCTGGTGAGTATTTGCTTCAGGTTGGGGGGCTGTCTGTAAGCAAGGACTGGCCTGTCTCCCAAGATCTGTGAGAGTGATGGGTCATCCTTCAGGATAGGTCGTAGATCTTTGATGATGACTGTTCCTCAGATGTTCTTGTCAATTGCTGGAAATAGCCCACCTTGATTATCACTACAAAAGGTTTCTCCCCCCCCCCCCCCGCTAGTATTAGCTCATCTTAAGTGATCACTCTCCTTACAGTGTGTATGATAACACCCATTGTTTCATGTTCTCTGTGTATATAAATCTCCCCACTGTATTTTTCACTGAATGCATCCGATGAAGTGAGCTGTAGCTCAGGAAAGCTTATGCTCAAATAAATTGGTTAGTCTCTAAGGTGCCACAAGTACTCCTTTTCTTTTTGCTATAGGAATGTACAACCATTTTAAGTATATGAATTATTTGGGTGAGGTGACAGCAAAAGTATGAAGAGTGTGTTCCCTAAAGGCTCAAAAAAAAAAAAAAAAAGTTAAAAGAATCCCAAATGTAATTATTTATGTATTTTAATTGCATTCCTCTTGGGTATATAACTCACGATTTTGAATATTTCTGGTTATTAATATATCCCGGGTTGTGAACTTATATTTAGTAAGAATTAAAGTAGAAGTTTGCCTTTGAGAAGGATTTCAGAAAAGATAGTATAGTTGTACCCTTAGGATCAGATTTTTAAAAGGTATTGAGACACATAGTGGGATTTTCAAAAGGATCTAGGTGCTTTCAACATTTGAAAAATCTGGCCTCTGGTGAATGTTTGGGAACCAAGTTCTACACACAAGTGTGACATGTAAAAAAGCACTAGGGTGCTGGATTGAGAGGCAAAATAAAAATTGACAAAGGCAATCAAAGGAAACCGAAGACGTTCTGACGGTGACCCAGGAAATCAGTCTTGATGTCAAATGGTCCCAAAGAATAAACTTGTGTGATTAAATAGTGAAAAAAACAAGCAAAAATTAAAAATGAAAAGCAAATGTCCCAATACAAACAGGAAGTGCTATACTAGAAGCACTGTGCAATGTCAATTGCTGAAACAACTAGCAACTGTTAATACTTTCAATTATTTGCTGTTAAAAATATAAACTAAATAGCACAATGACATCACAGAATATCAGAGTTAGAAGGGACCTTAGGAGGTCAGTTAGTCCAACCCCCCCTCTCAAAGCAGGACCAATCCCTCAATTTTTTTTGCCGAATTTCCCTAAATGGCCCCCTCAAGGATTGAAGTCACAATCCTGGGTTTCCCACGCCAATGCTCAAACCACTGAGCTATCCCTCTGACATCCGTCTGCAAAATGTTAACGGAGGTAAATGAAGTGCTAAGAGGTGTATTAGAGATGGAAGATTTCAGAGCAGCAGTCCTGTTACTCTGTGTTTGCAAAAAGAAAAGGAGTACTTGTGGCACCTTACAGACTAAAAAATTTATTTGAGGATAAGCTTTTGTGAGCTACAGCTCACTTCATTGGATGCATGCAGTGGAAAATACAGTGGGGAGATTTATATACATAGAGAACATGAAACAATGGGTGTTACCATGCACACTGCAACCAGACTGATCAGGTAAGGTGAGCTATTACCAGCGGGGGTGGGGTGCGGGGGGAGCCTTTTGTAGTGATAATCAAGGTGGGCCATTTCCAGCTGTTGACAAGAACGTCTGAGGACCAGTAGGAAGAGCCACTTTACCCAGGCATTGGGATGCCCTGTGCCTTTAAGAACACAGCCCTAGGAAGCGGGTGCTGAACTGCACCATCCTGTGAGGTGTGGGGTGGAAAGCCCAGGTTCTGACCCCCTTCCCCCGCGCCTTTGCAGCCAATGCGGACATTGGGCTCAGCCCACCTAGGAGGAGCTTTTACCCCTTCCCTGTCCCAGGGGTGTCCCCCCTGCCACTGGTTGTGCCCGTACCTCCTTAACCCTGGCTCCTGCCCCTGATTTTCCCCTTCAGCCCCGCTCCTTCCCCTGCCTGCGGCCAGTTTGCCGCCGCACAGACTGTGCCCATCCCACCCACCCCCCGAATTTGCCCCCTCTGACCGGATCCGCCAAGGGTCCTATGAGCCTGCTTCGTGCCAGCAGAGCGGCCGGTTCCGAGGGGCAGCAGCTCTTTGTAACATCACCGCGCAGGGAGCGGAGCTGGGGCGAGGGGGGGCCGTTGGTGCGGAGTCACTTTCCTGCCCGGCCCCGGCCCCGGCCCTTCCCCCGGGTCTCTCCCCTCACCTGCAGGCTTCGGCTCAGGGGCTGGTGTCGGCAGAGCCCGGGGCTGGTTCCAGCCCCCGGAGAAAGTCCCGCGGCTGGGCCCCGAGGGGCGCTGGGGAAGGGCTCTCCCCGCACACACCCCGCTGGGGAGTCGCTGATCCGGCCTGGCAGCTGGGCTCTCCCCTCCCACCCCACATCAGGGGGCGTTTGGCCGCCGCCCTTGCCGGAAGCAGATTCTGAGGGTAGTGAGGGCAGCAGCTGTTACAGCTCAGCAGAGCCGGGTCAGACGCTGTTTCTGGCTGCCCGCTTATGTGCTCTGGGAGCCATGGCGGATCAGCTGCTGCTGCCCAGCGGGGTCCGAGAAGGGGGAGTTGCGGTCAGATTCACTTGTTTTCCATAAAAAGGGTGTTTAACAATTCCTGAACAATTCTGATGCGTTCAGGCTCTAGGCTGGAGCGTTTAAAGTCAGATCCATTCCTCTCTGTCTGTTAAAGGTCTGTTTTGATGTACATTTGTTACAAGGGTTGAATAAATCTCCATTGTGCACGCACGCTGGTTTTTGTCCTTCAGTAAGATTTGAGTCTACTAACACTTACACAGTCTTTTCTTTGGCCTGAGAATAGTCCCGGGGCTTTGTTTAATCTCTATCACTGGGTGGCTTTAGCACTGTCTCCCCACATTCGGTCCTAGTGGAAGGTGTAGTCTAAGGACTAATAAAATAATCAAGGTTAGGATCTTTAAATACAGAAGTCTGAATTTAGGCTTTGAAATCCATATTCTGGTACCTGAATAAATGGCCTGATTATCACAAGTGCTGAGTACCCAGAACTGAGTCCCAGTGTTGCAAGTTTAAAATATTTTCAAACTCAGGCTCCATACTGAGAAAGATGAATATAGATTTAAGAGCTTGAAGTAGGATTTGTTTACTACTTTACAGGTTTTATCTTGCTGCTAACACATACACATGCATGTCTTTATGAATAGGAGTGGTCCTGTTGACTTAATTTAATTTCTATTAGTGGAAATGTTTCATGTGTTCACTCCCAGTGGGAGGCTGTAATTAAGTGACCAGGCCAGGATCTTTAAATACAGGAGTCTGCATCTGAGCTTCCAAATCCACATTCAGGTACCTCCTGCTTATCAAAGTCCTGCTTTGTCAGAAATGACCCCTCCATGTTTCAGGCTCAAAAATTTTTAAATGCCAGACACTACCTGAAGATGGATTTAAGAGTTTGCTTTATGTTGCTCTTTTTGAATATTTTGGCTCTTGCATTTCTCCACAATAGCAGAGCCTGGGGAGAATCATGATATGAAATACACTAAAGCCTCTAATGAGACCTCCCTAATTGTCCTTCTCACCCAGAGAGGCTCCAGAATAAACAGCCACATTTCTCTCCAGATCATCCCAACCTCCCAGGGCACAGGGAAGGGGAACGGCTGCAGAGCGGGTGACTTTTCAGGAGATGGCTGTGTGTTTTACTGAGCACCCATGAGCTCTCCAAGACCTAGCTTAGCAACACCTGTACAGGAATGCCTCGCAGGAGAATTGTTATACCATGTCCTCACTGGGTAAGGATTCCTGTCACCTTGAGTACTGGAAGATGGGAGAGGGATTTAGCTTCTGCTCAGGCATCTTCACTGGTCCCCCATATTTCAGGTGAGTCAGCCCTGATAGTCCCCAGAGCCTGTGTGTTATTTACTGTCCCCTTCCCACACCACAGGAGACTCGGGGATATCATGATGGTGCTACTCTTCCCATAACTAAGGGTTTTAAGAGGGACAAACTCACTATTTTACCATCACCTTCCTCAGGCATGTTCCCTCCTCTGGGCCTCTGACTTCACCGCTGTCTTAGAGAGGGACAAGTGTCTCATGACTTGGCTCTGCCTACGTTCCCAGGGGCCAGCTTTTCAAAGGGGCTTCACCTCCATCTTGCCCATGTTCTACCTCAGCCAGCTGTGTTAGCAGGATGTTCTTGATGCTCTTGCACCAGGCAGGAAAAGCTTGAAGCAGACTCACAGGCCTGGATCCAGTTGCTTGTTATTGCCTCAAGGGCAACCTTCTGAGCCTGATGTGTTGGAAGGGGGGTGGTGTTCCTGGGGCCTGCTCTGGGCCATGGTTGATCTTTGTGAAATTATGGTTCCTTAGAATCATAGAATATCAGGGTTGGAAGGGACCTCAGGAGGTCATCTAGTCCAACCCCCTGCTCAAAGCAGGACCCATACCCAATTAAATCATCCCAGCCAGGGCTTTGTCAAGCCTGACCTTAAAAACTTCTAAGGAAGGAGATTCTACCACCTCCCTAGGTAACGCATTCCAGTGTTTCACCACCCTCCTAGTGAAAAAGTTTTTCCTAATATCCAACCTAAACCTCCCCCACTGCAACTTGAGACCATTACTCCTTGTCCTGTCCTCTTCCACCACTGAGAATAGTCTAGAACCATCCTCTCTGGAACCACCTCTCAGGTAGTTGAAAGCAGCTATCAAATCCCCCCTCATTCTTCTCTTCTGCAGACTAAACAATCCCAAACGTAAGCCTCTCCTCATAAGTCATGTGTTCCAGACCCCTAATCATTTTTGTTGCCCTTCGCTGGACTCTCTCCAATTTATCCACATCCTTCTTGTAGTGTGGGCCCCAAAACTGGACACAGTACTCCAGATGAGGCCTCACCAATGTCGAATAGAGGGGGGCGATCACGTCCCTCGATCTGCTCGCTATGCCCTTACTTATACATCCCAAAATGCCATTGGCCTTGGCAACAAGGGCACACTGCTGACTCATATGCAGCTTCTCGTCCACTGTCACCCCTAGGTCCTTTTCCGCAGAACTGCTACCTAGCCATTCGGTCCCTAGTCTGTAGCTGTGCATTGGGTTCTTCCGTCCTAAGTGCAGGACCCTGCACTTATCCTTATTGAACCTCATCAGATTTCTTTTGACCCAATCCTCCAATTTGTCTAGGTCCCTCTGTATCCTATCCCTGCCCTCCAGCATATCTACCACTCCTCCCAGTTTAGTATCATCTGCAAATTTGCTGAGAGTGCAATCCACACCATCCTCCAGATGACTTATGAAGATATTGAACAAAACCGTCCCCTGGGGCACTCCACTTGACACCGGCTGCCAACTAGACGTGGAGCCATTGATCACTACCCGTTGAGCCCAACAATCTAGCCAGCTTTCTATCCACCTTATAGTGCATTCATCCAGCCCATACTTCTTTAACTTGCTGACAAGAATACTGTGGGAGACCGTGTCAAAAGCTTTGCTAAAGTCAAGAAACAATACATCCACTGCTTTCCCTTCATCCACAGAACCAGTAATCTCATCATAGAAGGCGATTAGATTAGTCAGGCATGACCTTCCCTTGGTGAATCCATGCTGACTGTTCCTGATCACTTTCCTCTCATGTAAGTGCTTGCACTGAGAGTGGCGAGGTTCTGGGGTTGAACATAAGAATGGCCATACTGCGTCTGACCAAAGGTCCATCTAGCCCAGTATCCTGTCTTCCCGACAGTGGCCAATGCCAGGTGCCCCACAGGGAATGAACACAACAGGTAATCATCAAGTGATCCATCCCCTGTCACCCATTCCCAGCTTCTGGCAAACAGAGGCTAGGGACACCATCCCTGCCCATCCTGGCTAATATCCATTGATGGACCTATCCTCCATGAACTTATCTAGTTCTTTGTTGAATCCTGTTATAGTCTTGGCCTTCACAACATCCTCTGGCAAGGAGTTCCACAGATTGACTGTGTGTTAGGTGAAAAAATACTTCCTTTTGTTTGTTTTAAATCTGCTGCCTATTAATTTCATTTGGTGACCTCTAGTTCTTGTGGTATGAGAAATAACACTTCCTTATGTACTTTCTCCACACCAGTCATGATTTTATAAACCTCTGTCATATCCCCCGTTAGTCGTCTCTTTTCCAAGCTGAAAAGTCCCAGTCTTATTAATCTCTCTTCACATGGCAGCCGTTCCACACTCCTAATCATTTTTGTTGCCCTCTTCTGAAACTTTTCCAATATATCTTTTTTGAGATGGGGCAACCACATCTGCACGCTGTATTCAAGATGTGGGCGTACCATGGATTTATATAAAGGCAATATGATATTTTCTGTCTTATTAGCTATCCCTTTCTTAATGACTCCCAACATTCTGTTCACTTTTTTGACTGTTGCTGCACACTGAGTGGATGTTTTCAGAGAACTAGCCACAATGACTTCAAGATCTCTTTCTTGAGTGGTAACAGTTAACTTAGACCCCATCGTTTTATAGGTATAGTTGGGATAATGTTTCCAATGTGCATTACTTTGCATTCATCAACATTGAATTTCATCTGCATGTTGTTGCCCAGTCACCCAGTTTTGAGAGATCCTTTTGTAGCTCTTCACAGTCTGCCTGGGACTTAACTATATTGAGTAGTTTTGTATCATCTGCCAATTTTGCCACCTCACTGTTTTACCCCTTTTTCCAGATCATTTATGACTATGTTGAATAGGACTGGGCCCCTGGGGGACACCAGTATTTACCTCCATTCTGAAAACTGACCATTTATTCCTATCCTTTGTTTCCTATCTTTTAACCAGTTACCAATCCGCAAGAGGACCTTTCCTGTTATCCCATGACAGCTTACCTTGCTTAAGAGCCTTTGGTGACAGACCTTGTCAACGGCTTTCTGAAAATCTAAGTATACTATCTCCACTGGATCCCGTTTGTCCACATGCTTGTTGACCCCCTCAGATAAGTCTAGTAGATTGGTGAGGCATGATTTCCCTTTATAAAAACCATGTTGACTCTTCCCCAGCAAATTATGTTCATCTATTTGTCTGACCATTTTGTTCTTTACTGTAGTTTCAACCAGTTTGCCCGGTACTGAAGTCAGGCTTACCGGCCTATAATTGCCGGGATCACCTCTAGAGCCCTTTTTAAAAATTGGCGTCACATTTGCTATCCTCCAGTCATTTGGTACAGAAGCCGATTTAATTGATAGGTTACAGACTACAGTTAGTAGTTCTAAAGGAACTCAAATGTGAAATTGTAGAACTCTTGGGTGAATACCACCTGGTCCTGGTGACTCACTGTTTAGTTTATCAATTTGTTCCAAAACGTCCTCTAATGACACTTCAATCTGGGACAGTTCCTCAGATTTGTCACCTAAAAAGAATGGCTCAGATTTGGGAATCTCCCTCACATCCTCAGCTGTGAAGACCAATGCAAAAATTAATTTTG